GGGAAGACCCACCAACACTCCTTTACCCAACAGGCCTTTCCCAAAAAATAAACAAGTCTACGAGCTTCAACAACTGAAACTATCCAAAAAAAACAAGCCGTTATACAGACAATACCTGAAAAAAAAATGCAAATAAACTGCAGAAACAGAGACTTTAAATGCAAGTGTCCCAGTACTGATACAATAATTCCACATCGGATGTTTCTTCTGATAGGGTCAATATAGAAAAAAGAGGGAACAACTTGCGGGACCTTTCAGAAACTACATGGAAGAGAAAGATAATTATAAAAAAAAGATCCAAAAGATCCACGGTAGGCATGGTATATGACAATAGTGCTGAAGAAATCTCGAAGGCGGGATGTTCTGCCTAAGCTACGTATCTCTTCATTACCGGGAACACATTATTCTCAAATACCAAGGACTTTAAAAGGACTTTACACAGAGAATGGTTGCCTAGGGTCTAGTAGATCTACCTCGAGTTCTAGTGGCAATATTGAGGTAACTCAGTTAATGATCCATGAGGATTCTCCAGTGAAAGGCGAATGACCTCCACTTTTCCTGCATCGCAAGAGCTCAGGGATTTTTAAATACGGTCAAACACAACTTTAATTTGAGTGACCCGTAATTTAACTGAATAAGAGGTAAAGAGCAGCTCAAAGCCAAACAGAAAGGGTGGGAGAAGTGCACAGATAAAGAAGCCACGAAACAACTAACATCACTATTTATAACTGGGAATAAGCCACATTAAAGATAAAAATACATTTATTGACGTTTCAATTTCCAATTCGGAAATCGTTCTCAAAATACAAATAGTAAATTAAACAAATTTTGTTTTTTGTTACATAGTGAAAAAATTCTTCTGATAATTTAATTTTATCTGACTCATTTATATTGACAATTCAGACATACATTATACATTTTAAAGTAGACGACTTTAAAATGATATTGCCAATATTGTTGAGTTGCGCTCCTGGGACGACTTTACTTATAAGATAGTTCATTCGATTACATGAAATCAACTTTAACTTGAGAATATCCGTCAGAAAAAATCATAGCATGTAATTCGTCTTTAAAAAGACAAACACATGACATGATGACAGTAAAATTCTCCTGTTAGTGATTCCATAGTAAATTATGAGGGAAAAACCAGGAAAAAAACCTCATAATACTATCCCGACATTGTAAGTATTTGTTCGTGAATTTAGTTTACCTTCAACAAACATCAAAATTCTGATTTTATGTTACGTTATTTAAAAAACATAAATGATGTATCCTCTATATGTTACTGACTTACTAATACTGGTATTTTCTTATTAATAACTTCCTCTTTCAATATTGGTAACCAGATCCTACTACATTCTGCCGAGGAATTTGCTACACAATTGGCCTCATTTAGCATAATTAGAGCCGCTTCTTTGATTTTTCTTTTTTTAAAAAAAGAAAAATCAAAACAACAAACACGTTGAGATCTATTTTGTCCAAAACCAAACCTAACAATGAACAAGAAAGGACAAAGAATTGCATTTATAAAATACAAAACAACAAACACGTTGAGATCTATTTTGTCCAAAACCAAACCTAACAATGAACAAGAAAGGACAAAGAATTGCATTTATAAAATACCTTGTGAATGCGATCAGTTTTATTTAGGTGAATCATCAAGGCCATTAAATGTTAGAATAAGTGAACATCAATCTTATATTAAAAATAGAGAATTTGATAGATCTCAAATATGTAAACACGCATGGGATAATGAACATAGAGTTCAATGGAATAATTCAAATATAGTCCTAAAAGAAACGGATGGTAAAAAAAGAAAAATCAAAGAAGCGGCTCTAATTATGCTAAATGAGGCCAATTGTGTAGCAAATTCCTCGGCAGAATGTAGTAGGATCTGGTTACCAATATTGAAAGAGGAAGTTATTAATAAGAAAATACCAGTATTAGTAAGTCAGTAACATATAGAGGATACATCATTTATGTTTTTTAAATAACGTAACATAAAATCAGAATTTTGATGTTTTTGAAGGTAAACTAAATTCACGAACAAATACTTACAATGTCGGGATAGTATTATGAGGTTTTTTTCCTGGTTTTTTCCCTCATAATTTACTATGGAATCACTAACAGGAGAATTTTACTGTCATCATGTCATGTGTTTGTCTTTTTAAAGACGAATTACATGCTATGATTTTTTCTGACGGATATTCTCAAGTTAAAGTTGATTTCATGTAATCGAATGAACTATCTTATAAGTAAAGTCGTCCCAGGAGCGCAACTCAACAATATTGGCAATATCATTTTAAAGTCGTCTACTTTAAAATGTATAATGTATGTCTGAATTGTCAATATAAATGAGTCAGATAAAATTAAATTATCAGAAGAATTTTTTCACTATGTAACAAAAAACAAAATTTGTTTAATTTACTATTTGTATTTTGAGAACGATTTCCGAATTGGAAATTGAAACGTCAATAAATGTATTTTTATCTTTAATGTGGCTTATTCCCAGTTATAAATAGTAATTAATTTACAATGCCACAAGAAAATAGCTTCAGAACAAAACTAACATCACAGGGAGGGTACTGACCCGCAATGTACATAAAAGGTTGTCCAGGGGTGATAAACACGATTATATCTGGATAGAATCTATACGAACCTGTGCACTTCCCTAATATAGCGAAGGTGCAATATCCTTGAATCACTTGTTTACAAGATCCCAAGAGCATCGATTTGGCCAAGGCCGTGTGGTCTGTTTCTGTGTTGGGGCTCGATGACATTGAGGTAAAAAAGGAAAATGTCCCGAACAGAAAAGCCATGACACAATTGTTCTCAATATGAGGGAGAATGTGTTCATTAAATAATTTTTAAATTTGAAAACAACACTGATACATGAAAATGGAAATTGGTAAATGGATAGGTAATTACCATCCCACCAAGTTAGAGTCGGCATTGCAAAGGGCATGAGGCTAAAGATTAATGCATAGGAATTGAGGCTAATGAATAGTGTTTCTCTCAACCTGAGAAACGAGGTTTTATCAAAATCTACGGAATCTTAGTGAACTGCACAATATTAGATCAATATGTTAGATCTCAGTCATCAACTACTTAATATTCCCAACACTGACATATGGATGTGAATGTTGGACCCTACGAGAAGCGGAAAGAAGAAAGATAGACGCCATTGAAATGTCCTGAAATATCACCGGACAAATAATTTAATTTTAAATGTACTAAAGGTCAGCAAACGACTCTACAGCAAAGTCGATTGAAAGATTGTTCGGACATTTTTGTATATATCAAAAACAAAACCTAGGTAGGTACATTAATGGAGGAACCCCATTTCACCCTCGGCACTGAAACAAGCTGAGGGTCTATGACAGCCTAAAGTTCAATGGGGCTACCGATGGACATTAGGCAGGAAATACCATAATCCTATATCCAATAATACTGGGTACCAAAGTAGTCTCTACAAGGTACAACGACATGGTCTTAGAACTTCTGAAGATACATCAGTGCTTAAAGGTTAACGGTATGTGGTTCTGCTTGAGATCGCTCGAAACAACCAGCCTTCGGCAGCAAAATGTAGGGATATGGATAAATGGATGTCTAAGTGTTGGCAATATTTTCGGGTTATTAGGTCTTGTTAAGATGATAGTTTAAATTACGATAATTACTGATTGTTTTGGCATTATCGTTATTAGTTATTTGGTTTAATTTTAAGTTATAATTTTATTTTTTAACTGATACATTCTATTCTATTCTATATAGGTAAGAGGAGAAAAGAAACAAAGCTAGATTATTCCATATATTAGCGGAAACGTTCCGTTTGTGTTTACAAAACAGTCCAAATCTGCAAGAGTAATACTCTTTTAGAAGGATTAGTCAAGACCTTTAAATTAAAAGAGAAAGCCAAAAAAAAATGACCTCTCGTATTGATACAAAGGAGAATATTAATAAAAACATTACTTACTGAGCAGTAATACAATATCGATGATAATTACAGCTACCAGTGTTACAAAGAATTGATTCACTATTATTTTTTTATAACTATCCCATACACACATGCATAAAAATAAAATATACATGCGCACCTACTAATTAAAATATAAAGATACCGAGAGGACAATCGACGCTGAACCTTTGTCCCAAATAGATCTTATTAATCCCAATGAATGCCGTTTAGGCGAACCTTTAGCACAGTAAGTCAGCTTCAATAGAACTTGCTATTGCTATTAGAAAGTTTGATGTCGCGTTAATATAAGATCCCTGATCATTCTCCAGCTAAATGAAAGGTACAAAAGGTGATGTCGTAGAGCGTATATATGGCAGATCTGTCAAACTGAGGACTTGTATAGTAGATAATGGAATGTGTATAATCTGCCAAGTGGCTACACAACGACAGGTGTAGAACAGAGAAAATTGGTATGCTACATATTAAAATTTTTGGTTGCGGAATTGTTTATGAAGTGTGTATCAGTGTGCATAAATTGTATGTCGCTTTAGTGATTCGTTAATAAAATAAATATTTAAATACGTTTTCAGATGTTTAGATACAGGTTAACTAAAATAACTCATTTAGCATTCAGCTAAAAGAGCGGAAAAGTTCTCATCGTAGATCGAGGAGATAACTAAATTGTTAAACGTTTAGTTACACTTCTTAGTCTTACGTCCACTTAGAAGGTCTACTTATGGTCTTCCTACATGCTATAAAGTTATTTTAGTTATATGTTATTCTACGATACTTATTTCTGGAAACTAGAATCAGAAAACGGAAATTAAATCATGTTACGACCAACAAGGATTATCTAAATTTTACGGGGCATATCAGACTGATTGTCAAAATTGTCGACTTTTTGCTATTAATAGTACTAAGGGACATGAATTTTATTTTTATAGAGTTTTACTACAATTAACTCAAAAACAGCTCCTCTTCTAGCATTCTATCAACCAAAAAACAACATTTAAGTAAAAAAAAACCTAAAAAACTGTCTACCCCTCTACCGCTGAGGGTGCGAGTGCATATGCGAGTGTGGGTGCTGGGGGTGGCCGTAACCTTGGTGAGGCGGGGGAAGAGGACTTGGACACGCTTGAGAATACCCACCGTGTTGCGGCGACCCCCCTAACCCGAGGTGTGTTTGCTCTAGGTGGGAATAATGACCTTGACTTGCGAGGGAATGTGGATGAGCGTGCGTGTGTGGCGAACCATATACCATTTGTCTTACTTTAGAATCGTCGTCCGAAATATTATAGGTGAGTTCGGTCTCCTCGAAGCCAGTGGCAGACATCCTTTGGTCACCCCCCGCCGAACCAGCTGGAGGATCTGGCGAATTCAAGCAGGTCTGGATCAATGCTTTACCTGTAAATAAAAAGCTATTCTTAAAAAATTAAATGCCATATAAACAATAGATACTAATAGCGTATTCAATTAGTTTTAAACAAAACCTATCGTATCAAGTACTAACCCTTCGCGACGCGGGTGCGTGTCTGTGAGACAAGCCAATCATATTTTTACAATTTGCAAATAGACCCGTTAGTTCTAACGCGCGGGCGCTTGAGTAGCTGCATGAATTACAGCGTAGTAGCATATGCGCCAGGCCTCAGTTTGATTCTAAGTCTCTGACAGTTTGTGCAGTGCATTTTTGTCCACGAGACACTACCCGAGCTTTGCAGTTACACAATCGAGAAGCGATTAACTCAAACTATTACTGTAACTTCTGTTGAGACAATTTTTTATTATTTTAGGTAGTAAATCGTTTTAAACATAGATCCTTATTTAGCAGAAATAGCTAGACTACACAAGATGTATGATGACGTAGAAACCGAGGATGATTTAGAAGAGAAAGTCTTTTCTGACGAAGACGACGACATCTATGCCACATTACACCATGAAAGTGACACAGAAGAGCTAGATTTTGAAGATACTTCAGAAATGTCTCTAATTGTCATGCCATTTCTTTAACTTTCTTGTGTAGATTATAGAAATCGTATATTTTTGAACATCCTCGATCTCTTTGCTTCTCTCTTTAAGTATTTTTCCTCTGCCTACTTTATCATCTTTCTGATCTCGTAGTTAGTTTTTTAATCCAAATTTTATTTTACAATACAACTTCTTCTTCTGAAGAATAAACCTCGCTTGAGCTGCATATGGAAAGATGAAAAATAATTTTAGGTCTAAGATTCCAATGTGCATGAAAAGAAAAGTATTTAATCAGTGTATTTTACCAGTGATGACCTTCTTCTTCTTAACGTGCCCTATCAAGTCCCCTTGACGTTGGCGATTAACATGGCGAAACTGTCTCTGTCTCGAGCTATTCTAAAGAGTTGCTCAGCTTTGTTTATTCCTGTCCACTCTCTGATATTCTTCAACCAAGAGGCCTGCTTTCTACCAATTCCTCTGCGTCCTTCGATTTTACCCATCATAATAAGTTGAAGAATATTATATCGGTCTCCCCTTACTACGTGTCCAAAATAGGCCATCTTTCTACATTTGATGTTATCAAGCAGCTCGCGAGCAGCATTTGCTCTCTCGAGGACTGCCACATTTGTCAGCATAGCCGTCCATGGAATTTTTAGTATACATCTGTGCAGCCACATTTCAAAGGCCTCCAGACGATAAATGGTGGATATTTTTAATGTCCATGCTTCGACACCTTATAAGAGGACTGACCAAATGCAGCATTTAACCATACGCTTTCGAAGTGATGACCTACGGGGCAGAAACCCTAAAACTCACAAGAACAACAGTGAGTAAACTACAAGTTGCGGAAAAGGCAATGGAGAGAATAATGTTTGGGATTTTTCTATGTGATCGAATACCCAATGCTACTATACGCCAAAGATCCGGAGTAGCAGACGTTATTGAAAGGATAACAACACAAAAGTGGAACTCGGCAGGTCATGTAGCAAGATCAGTTGATGACCGGTGGACAAAAAAAATTTTGGAATAGAGACCCCGAAAACAAGCTAACAAAAATAGAGGTGGACCCCCAACGAGATGGACAGATAACATAAAAAGAGTGCCTACAAATTGGATTCAGATGGCGCAAAATCGTACTAGGAGGAAAAGCATGCGAGAGGCCTATGTTCAGCAGAGGAAGTTAGAGGCTAGTTGACGATGATTATGATTGTATCTATTGTAGATAATATTTAATGTATTGTAATATTTTTAAGTGAGAATAATCCTGGCGATAAGTGAGTTGTGATCTGAGGTCAGGTCTGCTCCGGGAAATGCTTTTTATGATTTAACAGCAATTTTATATAGGTGTTGCATTGTCGAGTATTAAAAGTGATTCAGAACATAAACCGGAATAAGATAAGTTTTATTAATCGAAACGACTATTATTCTAACTAATGATAATTGCTATCAAGGACAAAAAGATTTAAAAACTGTTTATGATAAAGAAAACCACAACAACTGTGATATATGCGCCTGGTGTGATACTTACAGAAGCTCAGAAAAAACATAAATAATTGTTTTTATTAAGTTGGTAGAAAAAAAAAAACAAATACAACACTATCAGAATTAACGTGATAATTATAAAAAGACATCAGACAAAACGTAGATTAAAACTTCAAATCTGTATACATTACAATCTTAAATCAATATCTTATATTTTTAACTTCTTTATCAACGTCCTTATCGACACTTTTGATTACAAAAATGTATAATATATGTATTTTGTGCCATCGATGAATTTGATCACACCACAAATGTATTATAGAAGTCTTAATTCTGTCTCATTGAATATAAGTTTAACGCGTATCTTACGGTACTTGTTTATGAATCTGGTTGTTATACTATGTACGGGCACTGAATATATTATTGGAAGAATATCATCTAGTTCTCTCGTCGCGTTTCCGAAATGTTTTTTGTTTTTAGGTTGTAGACTTTGTAGTAATATTTAACTCAAGTTAATTTAATTTCAATACATCCAAATCTATAAGTTCAATAAGGTTACAAAAAAATAATTTCAAGCTCATTATAATTGCAAACCCATTTTCATTTGCTCATAATAAAGCAGTAAAATTAATCAATGGCACATAAAAGACAGACAATTAGTAAATACCAAAAGATGAAGAGCTTTTAAGAATTACATTTAATTACACGGAATACCCTGTAAATAACTAAACTAGTCGTTTAAATAAACTAGTCGTAAATAACAAAATAATAGAACAAGTGATGGAAACTTAATACTTGGGAATAAAACTGTCAAGCTACGGAAAAGTTGAAGAAGAAGTACAAAAACAAGTTAACATGTCAAACAGAGCAGCAGGATGTCTCAAGAATACAATCTGGAGAAAGAAATACCTCACAACGGAAACGAAAACCAGGATATATAAATCAACAATAAGACCGATAATGACATACACAGCGGAAACAAGAGCAGATACGGCGAAAACACAAAGACTGCTGGAAACAACACAAATTAAAGTCTTACGAAAAATAACAAACCAAACTCTAAGAGATAGAGTAAGAAGTGAGGAAATATGAGCGAGATGTGGTATAGAGGAAATAAACGTGTGGACCAAAAGAAGAAAAGTGGAATGGAATCAACACATCGAAAGAATGACAGAAAATAGAATTGTACAAATAGCAAGAGACAAATTGCCAAATGGAAGAAGATCATTGGGACGACCGAGGAAAAGATGGTAAAACAACGTCAATTAAGGCTAAAAACCGAAGTAAAACAGGCATTAAGCCTATTTATAAAGTGGGAAGAAGAAGAAGGAATACCCTGATTTAGCAAAAACTAACTCGAACGGTTGAAAATCGTATTATTTTAAAATATGGTAACCCTCTGTATTACAACAAAAATACGGATTACATCAATTTTGGACTAGAGTTGATAAGACACGTACCAGATATCGAACGAATATCAGAACTTATAACCTAACTCATACTAAAAACGAAGACAACGATGATTTTTTCATGTCATTCAACATTCACACTAGTTTGACTTTACTCCTAAATACTGAATGGTGATCCTGAAGTTGTCAATGGTACGTATTTTATTGAAATCGGTTACAACAATTTGAATTTAAGAGCCATAATAATAAACTTACAAGATGTGATTTAATGAACTGAATATTCTGGATAGGTAGCTTGATAGACTGTATTTTGATCAAATCACTTCAGTTAAATAAGGGTTTTATATAGAAAGAGGGACTAATCCACAATTTTGTAATAAAGATCAGTTTTTGGAAACAAATATTGTTTGAGAGAAACGAGAGGAACAATTTCAAAAATATCGTATTATGTTAAAATAAAAGTACCTAATTGTAAATACTTGCCTGCTTCACTTGTAATCATTGGTTGTAGTTTTCTAGTAGCAAAAGTGTACACGTGACCGGTTTCCGATGCCACAAGCAACATCACTTGTGTTCCAGTCAATGTTGATAATTCATAAGCCTGTAACAAAGCAAAAAATTATTCAATGAAATTAATACTGCTAAGGAAATAACTACGTATTGAATTACACACTGTAAATATAATCAGCAGTATTATTATGGTAATGGAATATCTCCTTTGTAGATCGCTAAATCCAACCCCCAAATACCTATTTATAGAGCAATTACATAAGAATTAGATAAAAAAAATTGTACCGAGCCCACAGACTATTGGAACTTCTGCCATCAAACGTAAGTGCTATAAAAAGCTGGTTTTAATTATTAGAGAGTTAGTTAGTATTTTAGATTTGAGAAGCTATTGTACAAATAACTAAAAGTCAATAAATAGTGGATACAAAATGGGACGTGACTTTTAATTAAATTAACAATGGGGTAAGATTTTTTTTACTTTTGGGGTGTTTTCGGCACTGTAAAACATTTATGAACCATAGGAATCTACCTCCCTTTTCTTCCAATTGTAACTGCTCTATTCTTCGTTCGACATAGTTTTAATTCTACTTTTATTCTACTTCTGACATGACCACCCAATGTAGTCTTTGTTATTGCTCCTTTTTTGGGGCAGGTAAGGAGTCAGTGTAGAGCCTTGATGCAAACCAAACGTCACCGGAAAAGTTTAGGTCAATCGGACACGAGTCCTTACTTTGGTGTACGGTCACTCATACATATCTTTCACACGCGTTACATACTTCTCATGAACTCATTTCTCTCTCATACATCTCCATAGCTCTTGTCTACGAACTATGTGGTACGCCATCTCAAGGTCTATAAATACCAAACTGCTTTTCCTTCTCGCCATGTCTCTGTATCAACTATCTCAAAGCAAACAAGGCATCCGTTGTCCTCTGTCCTGACGTAAACCCAAACTGTTCTACTATCGATGTCTGATTGTCCCCTTTATCATACAGTGATACCATCACGCTCTTCTTACGAAATATCGAGATTTTTTACTTCTATAATGATTTGTTTTCATTTAGAATGGCTCTGATTTTATTAATGTAATGATGAATGTAAATTATATTATTATAACTAAAACCGCATATGTCGGAGATAAGCGCGGCTGTTCTAGTTACTTTGGTGGGCGCGCATATCGAAAGGTTAAGTACTTTGGTGTTTTGTCCATGCTTTAACAATACTGTAGAGCTTATTCATCTGCTCGGGTATTTCCAACTCTTCATACAGCTTTGCTGATAATATTTCCTTAAGGCTAAGGCGCGCATTTCTTCCCCTCTTTGCTACTTTGTATGTATCCTTATCTTTCTTTCTTTTTGACCTCTCATACGTTTTTCTAACGTCTTTCTGTCCCCTAACCGTCTGTTGCAGTTCATCATTCCACCACCAAGTTTCTTTGTCCACGTGGGGCCCTTTATCAGATATTTTTCCTAGCTCTTTCTCTTCCACTCGTACCACAATTTTGCTGTCGGCTTCCCACCAATCATTTACCGCAGAAAGATTACATGTTATAGGTCTAAAACATCTGAGAATCAGATTCCAGACGTTAGGTCTGCACTTTGGAAATCGTTCTCAAATTTAAAAAAATTTCTAGCTGAAAGTAAAACATTAAATATAACGGTTTTTCATTAAAATTGTAAATGAAGTTTTGAACATGTAAATTAACAATTAATATTAGCGTACTCAATTTTTGAAAATCAATACCAATCATGTAGACAGACCAATATAAAGAAAAAATCATCGATGGTTTACAAAATTTACAGTTATGTAAAGAATTGAGAGGAAGAGAAGCATGTGGTTTGGTATATGTCGTAAGCGATAATTAGTGACCATATGCATATATACATATATCTATATTATTTGACCTGTGGACGCTAGAAAATTATAATACGTTTTTAAAAATACAAAAGGCCAAAAAAGTGCGTTATCATTCCACACTAATGATCTCAATGTTGTTGAAAGACAGTGGCGTAACGATAATTTCCCAACATGCTTTCTATTAAGAAAAAAATATTATTTATGTAGATGTGGGTATTCATTTTATTACCACAAAAAAACACATTCCTTATATACCGTTATTTGAAAAAAAGAATGGTGATTACATAAAAAATTTCAAAGATAATGGCTGGCAGATAAATAGATAGAACTGATAAAATGCAATATACAGCTACTAATGAAGGTCACTGACTATTAAAACACTGAAAGGTCACAGTGGGTAGGAGACAATGTTTCTAGCGAATTCTAAAAAAATGGTGAGCTCTAAGAAAATTATTGGTTAAAATAATCTACTAAAAAAGCAACAAAACATAAGATATGCTGATTGATAATAATAAAACACAAATAAAGATTTTTGATCAGAAGGTGGTTGTAAATCTTCTAAAGACCGTACTAGGCTGTGTCCCGTAAAGGATGCCCTGACGTTTGTTGAATGTAGGGTGGAAAGTTCCATTCTCATGAGGTCCTCCCAGAGGAGTAGTGCAACTTATGCAACCATAGCTCTCTGCCTACCAATTGAATTCCACACACTCAACCGGACTACTCATGTAGTAGGTCCTCACCGGACTGGTGCATTATATGAATGGCCCGTCTTTTCTCTCTCTTTCTCTCTCTCTCTCTCTCTCTTTCTCTCTCTCTCTCTTTCTCTTTCTCTCTCTCTCTCTCTTTTCTTTTCTGCAGATTTCTCTCTAGTATTTCCTTCTTTCTGACGATTTCAGACATTCCACATAGTGGCTTAAAGCCACTCAAACTTACTTTCTCCCTCTGTCAAAAAGAGCCATAGCCAGTTCTCTCCTTCGTGACTTCTCGATCTTAAAGAAGTCTCCTGTCCCTTTAAAATTCCTAACAACTGTTCGGTAAGGGTCTACCCAGATATCCCTTTCAAGATTTTCGAGTCTTTCCAACATATTTTTTAGCCATCTAGGCTGTATAATGTCCGAACCGTAAAATGATACAAATCTTTTAAGTCAAAAATATTATTATACTAAAATTAAACTATCTAAAAATACAGGTACCCATTGTTTCTTTTATACATTGGAAGAAAATCACGTGATTCTTTTACATAAAAATTGGTAAGAAATTCTGAAGATTAGTAATAAATTTAGTTTACTGGTCCTGTTTATAGAGAGTTAAAAAAAAGTTTAACGGCGATAGGTAGGTACGTAATGTCGAGCTATGTTGCGTTGCAATTAGGATTATATTTGGATTATCCAGGTGCAAATTTTAACAAAAACTAATTGCTTGAATATTAAGAAACTAAAGAAAAAGAAAAATAGAACTCTATAAAACTTTTGAACCTTAAATTACTAATATGCGAGTGATCACTAACCGGTGCACAAGAGTTTTATGTTTTTTTGAGACATAATATAATCTGGTAAAAACCCAACCCAAGAGATTAAATGTCGCATTCTGTGCGACAGTGCTTCTGTATGGAGTAGAAACGTGGACATTGAAGGCGGAAACTCTATCAAAACTTCAGGCTTTTAAATTATGGTTATACAGAAGAATCCTGAAAATACCATGGACAGATAAAGTCACCAATGAAGACGTACTGCGGAGGATGAACACAACCGCGGATTTGGTCAACATTATGAAGAGCCGTAAGCTGGAGTACTTGGGACATATAATGAGAAATCAAGGCAGATATGAGCTACTCCAATGCATTTTGCAGGGTAAAATTGAAGGAAAAAGAGCCCCAGGACGAAGGAGAATATCCTGGCTTGCTAACCTGAGAGCATGGTATAGAAAGACCTCAACACAGCTATTTCGTATAGTAACCAACAAAATCATCATAGCCAGAATGATCGCCAACGTTCAGAACTGACAGGCAACCTAAGAAGAAAAAAATTTCTTGGGTATTTGGTACCTAAGACAAAGTACCGAAATAAAATATTAACTATTAACTACTAATGCTCCTTAGTTAATTAATTTTTTTAATGAATGGATTTTTTTGGATCAAAGTGCTGTCTTAGAAAATTTAATATAGAAAAGAATATGCCTTTTCAAATAGGTATATCAAGAAAAGGGTATCAAAGAAAACAAACAATATCTACTTAGATGCATATAGAGGGCGCACATGCCGCACATGTCACACTATGGGATAAAATACGTTTGCCATCGGAAGTTTGACATTAAGAAAAAAACGAGATTACACTCAAAAATAGAAATATTAAGTTGTGGAGAAACATCGTCGTAATATCAATTTATATAATATAATAAAATAATGGTTAATTTTACCTCTAAGCTGTGCCAATGGATGGTTAACATAAAAAATTAAATAAGTTCCAAATATGCCAACAAAAATTACTGGTAGTTTTTTATATGTGCAGATGTAGTAGATGAAAAGAGAGAAAAATTTTAATACGGGTAAATATTTTAACATCTTCCGTGTGATCTACAAAATCTTCCACGTACAGAATTATTGTAAATAATAAAGAAAACCCCAACTCACTGTTGCTTGTAACACAAAAAAAACTTTAAAAAATTTTTTCAAAAGGTATTCTTCAAAAAGAGTTCCAACTGTACTTTTAAAAGATATTAAACTAATATCCCAATACCCCAATATTTGACACGACACTGCTACCAATACTGTTGAAGTAATAAAATTATAATTATAGGCGTCAGTGCCGACATGCATACACTTCTATAATGGAAAAGATATGTCAAAAATATTGAAAGAAAAAAATACATGATCCATTATGTTATGGATGAAATAGAAATTGGTTTTACAATGCTTATTATCGACCGTTTTTTTCAACGTACTTCATATATAAATACCTGTCAGATTGTTTTTTATTCATACAGCTTTTGATAGTCAAGCAAATGCCCTACAGGGCTAGCATATGTACTTATTATTACACTATTTGCTTTGATTTATATGCGTCAGGTATGTGAAGTATTCTTCTATTCATTATTTACCGTTAGTTAGAGAAAAGACTTGTAGAAGGTTTACTGAAATAATTCAAGAATAATTTAAATACCAATTATCTTACACTTCGGAAACTATCTGTGGCTATCCTTATTTATGTTATTTTCTCTACTGTTCTATTCCTGCTTGTTTTAGTTCAAATAATCTATACTCAACTTGTTATTTTTATTGCCTCATTTTTACATGCGTATGTGTGTGGTTAAGTTTGGTGTGATTTGGTGGGGTTTGGTGCTTGTGTCTAAGGTGTGTGAGTATTGTGGAGTCTTCTTCTTCTTTGTGTGCCATGCTTGTATTCAAGCGTTGGCTATCGTCATATTGACAAGCTGATGAAATTATTCTTGGTCGGCAGCTAGATGAATCAGTTACTCGATCGTTCGACCTGTCCATTGTCTAATGTTACGCAGACAGGACAGTTGTTTTCTTCCAACTCAACGTTTTCCTTCAATTTTGCCCTGAATGATTAATCGGAGTATTAGAGGATATTTAGGTCCTCTCATTATATGACCGAAGTATTGGACCTTTCTCATTTTGATGATGTTGATCAATTCTCGGGATTCTGACCATGCGACGGTAACACCTCAACTAAAACTCTTCTAATTTGTTAAGATTTTTTATTTTTGTTGTCCAGGTTTCACATCCATAGACCAAAGTGGACCAGACGTAGCACTTCAATACTCTTAAACGTGTGGTCAACGACAGACTTCTACTGCATAATACAGAACGCCAGTTAATAAAGTTTTTTCGTGCGAGTTCTATTCTGGTCGAAATTTCCTCGTCACTTTCAACCCTGCAGTCAATCCAGCTACTCAGATATCTAAAGTGTTCCACCCTTTCCAGAATTTTGTTATCTAATCTTAGTACTGAGTCTTTGATATTAATTTTTCCGACCACCATCCATTTTGTTTTTTTTGCGTTGATTGTTTAGCCCTTTTCAGTGTATTCGTTGTTTACTGCATTCAACAGGGTTTGAAGATCTTCTAGACTCTCTGCCATTATTGCGGTGTCATCGGCGTATCTGATGTTATTAATAATTTCACCACCGATCTTAACACCTTCGCGGCGATTATTTAACGCTATTTCAAAAACTGGTTCAGTGCAGGCATTTAACAACATCGGTGACATAACACATCCCTGTCTGACACCATGCTTAATAGAAATTTTAGCTGAAACCTCTTGGTCCACCTTAACACAAGCGGTCTGATTGTATTAAAGATTTTTGAGTCTAAGCATTGAAATAATAATGTATGTGGTACTCTATCAAAGGCTTTTTCGAAATCTATACAACATACGTAAATATTTTTCCTAAACTCAATGCTCTTTTTTAAGAGTATTCGCATGCAAAAAAGAGCTTCTCGAGTACCCATACCGTTTCGGAAACCAAACTGCTCATCTCCAGTTATCCCCTCACAAAGTTTATATGTATATGCGACAATGCAATATTTTGATAACAACTTTAAGCGTGTGACTCATTAAACTGATAAGTCGATAGTCGCTTATTATTATCATTATATTGTGGAGTGGGCTGGTTAATTTGGGTCTGGGTTGGTTAGGTTTGGTGTGGTTGGTTAAGTCTGGTGTGGTTTGGTTAAATTTGGTGTGCTTTTATTAAGTTTGGTGTGATTTGGTTAATTTGGGTGTAGTTTATTAAGAGACATATAATACAAAAAGACTGATTGCTGCAATACAGTAGCATTGCCCTAGTGTCAACAGAGAAAAGTCCAGCAAAGCAGACCCTGCATCTCGTTTTAATGGGTCGGGTTAATTGATCACGTGACTTCCCATTGGAAATTTAGGTCACGTGGTTAATAGACTGGCAAATTAGAAAGAGATGCAGGGACTCCTTTGTGTCAGTTTTCTCTGTCGCACTGGGAGAACGTATTGCAGCGTTCAGTCTATTCCTATTATGTATATGGGTTTAAATAATTTTAGTGTAGTTTGGTTAAGTTTCGTGCGGTTTTGGTTAAATTTGGTAACGTTTCGTTAAGTTTTAGTGTAGTGTGGTGTATTGAATTGGGATGTCTTGTGTTGTGGAATGGTGTGGTTTACTCTAGCAGAAAAAATTAACGATAAACAGGACTTCTTAATCAAAAATCGTCTTACTAGTAAGAATATTATAACACGTTTTTTTTATATATAGCATTACCAAGCATAAATGTTGTCATTTACAGACGCATTAGTTTAGAAATGTAGTTATCCGATCCCAAATATCAAATTTATTGATACATATAACAAGGTTATCTACCAGTATTTAAAAAATCTTGTAAACATGAACTGCATAAGCAAATCGAAAAATTGCACTAAATATTCTTTAACTAACGATTTAATGAAGTTAAAATTAGAAGAAAAATCATAAAAAGTTTATATTATTACCTATATTAACATTTTTGGGCCAGATTTATTTATGATTTTGTTTTTAATGTTCAACAACACTTGAAAACGGAAACCAAAGTAGTTAGAATAGCAAGGGATACATCGCAAATGGGAAGAAGAAAAACTGGTATGAAGACATCGTTTTATTAAAGTAACGTAAGTATATTCTTAATTCTCAATCACGAAACACGACTTTTGTCAAAAATATTGGAAGAAATGAAAATAACAGCCGCTGAATACGAGCTCTTAAAGGTCGTCGCATTCGCAGTCTTTTTTATCATAGATATGGTGGAACTGATGTTCGCCACTTTTAAAATTACCTTTAGAACGTCCATTTGAATAAAATTTCTGCTGCAATCTGATTTTCATCTAGTGCTTTCCTCTTTTTGAATATTTCTATAGTACCTTTAACTTCTTGTAAAATCGATGTTTCTTCATCTTTCTACTTTTGATAGTATTTATTTAAGCAATCTGTTCGTATTTACAGTTCTTTCTGTCAGTAACTGCTCTTTTTGTCCTTTTTACTGTATCTGAGTTTGACTTTTTTTTACCTCCTACTCTCATTTTCTTTTTGCGTGGTTCTTTCTGTAGCTGTCTCCAATCGGATTTTAAATGTATTTATGGCTTTCTTTACTTCATCTAGTTGTTTTTAATTTTATAGACATTATTCTAAAGTATTATTTTTTTTTCTTAAATTATTAATCTGTTCGTATTTGTTTCAGTCCATTCACGAATTCACTTAATAGACTATTCGTGCATTCTTAATATAGACCTGTTTCTTCACTTAGGATCTTTGCACCTGTTTCAGGATTACGGAGAGATGATGACTCTTTTTCTTGTTTCGTACATTACTCTGCTTTTTCGTTTCTATTGTTTAGAGATTAGCGTAAGAAAGTTATCACTTATACTACTGTCGAAAAGTCTTATACACGCGGCAGTTTACGCACTCTGTTATAACTATAGACACATAATACACATAGACTGATTGCTGCAGTAGAGTGCCACAGAGCAAACTGACGCGAGACAGTCCCTACATCTCTTTCTAATTTGTCAGGTTTATCGACTACGTGACCTAAATGACCAATAAGAAGGTCATGTGATCGATAAACCCGGCCCATTAGAAAGAGATACAGGGACTGCTTTGCTTCAGTTTTCTTTCTAGCACTGGGGGAAGGGGCTGGTATTGCAACGATGTGAGTATTTTGTATTATATGATTATACCACACTTACTTCAAACGGCCCTAGTATTTTTTACGTGATAAATGCAAGTGAATTTCAATTGATTGTTTTTAATCATTATCTTACAATATGGACACATGCGCCGGTTTTAATGTTCATATAACTGAAATAAGTAATTTAAGACTTTTGAGCTTAAGTTTCAAAATGGTTCCTGGCTTAGAATGTAAGTGAAATTGTCATTCCGAAGGTTTAACTTTCTCAGGATAAACATCTATTTTTATACTTCAACGTTTGGAAGAATTTTATTTCATAGAAATTTAGACTAAAGCAAATTGAACTAGATTAAAGGATCTAGCTTCGCTGTCACCTTTTTATTAGCTAACTTGTTTTAGTCAAATTTCTGAATAACCAAGATTTTGTAAAAAAATAGTTTGATTAGATAAAATGAAACCGCTTGTGGTAGTTGTCCTGATTATGTCATTATTAGAGCAACTTGGTAGAGTATAAAGTGGAAAAATTATTTTTTTTTTAATGTAGCTATACTGTTGTTATCGTATTTGAAACACTACAATTAAATAAATAACTTTATTATCGGCAAAAGTCAACATTTGATTAACAAGCAGAATTTTAAGTATCACTTGGTATTATAAGAATATCTCATAAGTGGAAATATTAATTCACCAACATTTTTACGGATTTACCGCGACTGTGTTATTGATATATTCATTAAATATAATGAAGCTCCGGATAATCAGTGCGAAAAATATCCTATTAAGATATCTGATACCGATGCTGGGGATTAAATTTCGAAAAGAAATAAGCCCCATAGAGAATTTGTTTCTCAAGACGTACACTTGCAATTAAATCGAATAAATAACGAGTACAATTAAAAAAATTAAATTCATTGGTGGACATTTTTATTTGTTTAAATTGTTTTAAACATGTTTAATGGCTATGAATAGAAACTGAAGGGATGGCGTATGGTTGAAAATTTATCTGATTTATTTACGCTATTTGGAAATAATTTAACACATCAAAAATTTCCAATAAACTAGTTTTTTCTGATATAATACATCAATTTTAATTCGATTTTAGTGAGTCACATACCGTTATAATGCTTGAATAAGTCAGCAATAAATGTATTTTAATTTTAGTATACTATGATAAAATAAATAAAGAAAACAAGGTATAATTTGAAAATAATACAGGTTTATGCACCAACAACAGACCACGATGAAGAAGAAGTGGATATATTCTATGATGATATCGAAGCCGCTCTTAAAGACCATCAAGGACATTTTACTTTTATATGCAATGATTTCAAAGCCAAAACAGGAATGAAATCCAACCCTACAGAAACACCACTGGTAAACTTTGGCTTGAATGGTAGAAATGAGCGTGGCGAAATACTGTTAAGGTTCATGCTGCAACATGAACTATACCAAATGAATAGTTTTTTTCAAAAAGAAACCACAGAGAAGATGGACATGGCAAAGTCCTAATAGAAAAACTCAAAACGAAATAGATTTTATCATCACGGACAAAAAACACACCGTTAAAGACATCACGGTTCTAAACAGATTTGTTACCAGTAGCGATCATAGAATGGTACGACGTAAAATAGAAATAAGCTTAAAGAAGGAGAGGTATAAGATGATTAAAAAGAAGAACAAATCAAAACCATGGATGAAACCATCAGATGTCGATAGATGTCAGCAATGTATTTCCGACATACTTAGTAGTCCTGAAACAGAAAATAATATAAACGACTTAAAGAATAAATTAGCAAATATTTTACTGGAAATTCAAAACAATTTCTGTTCTAGAACTCAAAAAGAAAAAAAGATTAGCCAAAATACTAAGCAACTAATGCAGAAAAGAAGAGAAATGAGAAGCGATATGAAAACTAAAGCCGACGAGCCACAAAAATTAAATAAAGAAATATCCAAAGCTGTTGGACAAGACACTCGAAAATACAATGAAGAACAAATCGAACATACCATTGAGAACAATAGAAGTATGAAAGTATTGAGAAAAAGACTAAGGACGGGGACAAGGCAGATAATAAAGATTAAAGATAGAAATGGTCATCTTACAACCAACAGAGAGAAAACCCTTAAAGTAGTTGAAAAATCTACAAATTGCTGTACACGAGCCAGCACAAAGCAAATAGCAGAGAAGATCTAGTACCAGAAATAATAAAAAAAAATAAAAGTGCAAGAATCAGAACTACTACCGGAAATCACAATAGATGAAATAAAACTAGTCCTAAGAAAAGCTAAGAATAACAAATCTCCAGGCGAAGATTGTGTAGTTACTGATGCAATCAAAATCGGAGGCACTTGCCTACTTAAGAAAATAAAAAACCTTTTTAACATGTTCCTTTTGGACAGTAATATACCCGACAAATGACACAATGCTGGCGAAGATTGTGTAGTTACTGATGCAATCAAAATCGGAGGCACTTTCCTACTTAAGAAAATAAAAAACCTTTTTAACATGTCCCTTTTGGACAGTAATATACCCGACAAATGACACAATGCTGAGGTAATTCTATTGCACAAAAAAGGAAATCCCCATAAAAACTACAGACCTGTAAGTCTTCTTAGTCACCTATACAAACTCTTTACAAGAATAGTAACGAATCGTCTTGAGAAAAAGTTGATTTTTACCAGCCAATAGAGCAAGCGGGATTTCGTACCGGATTTGGAATAAATGATCACCTACATAGCATTAAAACGGTAATAGAAAAGACTATCGAATACAATCGGCCACTCGTTCTGGCTGTTGTAGATTTCCATAAAGCCTTTGCCACGGTAGAATTTGACAAAATCCTGGAAGCACTACAAGCATGCGGCATTGACTACCGATCTACAAGGTTAATTTACAATATATACAAGAACGCAACTATGTTAATGAAAACACGGATCACATCCCAATCGGCAGAGGAGTTCGGCAGGGTGATACCTTAGCGCCTAAACTGTTTACCGGAGTACTAGAATATGCTTGTAAAAAACTTAACTGGGGAGAGAAAGGCCTGAACAATGACGGTAGAAGATTAACAAATTTGAAATTCGCAGACGACATAGTTTTGTTCTCGGACAACCTCAAGGAGATATGTACAATGCTACATGAACTGCAGTTAGTGTGTGTCAGTGTGGGTCTTAAAATAAGCATCTCCAAAACAAAATTCATGACAAACCTAGTACCTAGCGGAAATATCAATATTGGAGACAACAAAGTAGAGCTGGTGGAAAAATACATATATCTTGGACACGAAATAAAGATCACAAGAGACAACCAAAAACATCTTTAAAAACGATATACCAATTTCTTTAAAACGTAAAATATTTGACAAATGTATGTTGACTGTGATGACCTATGGTGCCGAAACCTTGACATTGACAGCTACAAGTTCTAAAGCGCTGCAAATAGCTCAGAGGAAAATGGAAAGATCAATGCTGAGTATATCGCTTCGTAATCGACTTAGAAATGAAGACATAACACGAAGAACAGCAGTTATCGATGTAATTTCCCGAATTGCCACACTGAAATGGAACTGGGCCAGACACGTCGCCCGAATCAGTGATGAAAGGTGGACGAAGAGATTGCTTGAGTGGAGGCCGAGGTTAGACAAAAGAAGTAGAGGTTAGACTGACGATCTCAAGAACATGTCAAGAAATTAGATAAAAAGTACTCAAGACAGAGCACAATGGACAAAAATGAGAAAGGCCTTTGTCCAGCAGTGGACAAAAGGCTGGGTGATGATGAGGATGAAATAATCAAACAAAAGTTGAGAAATTAACTAATTTAATGGAAATTTTTAACACAAACTTCAATTATTATGTTTTGATGGGAAACTCCTTTCGCGTTCATTTATATTCGGAGTCTCAAGTCATTAAAGCCGTAGCAAAGCTCTTGCTAAAATTCAATAACATTCAGTTCCGTAGATCATAGCTCGTCTTAAGGCAGTTTTATAGAATTTTGCCTTGAGTTTCATTAGAATCTACATGTCCCTTCCTTCCATCCCATCCATCCCGTCGTAACTCTACCGCATGCATGGCTCTTGCCATGTTCCACGTCTCTCACTTTTCCATATGAACCGTCCCTCGTCCCGCTGTCCCGCAAAGCTAACTTAAATTATATATTCTAAATA